AGCAGGGTCTACGTATGCTAGAGGACTGCAATACACAAAGGTTACAATGAGCAAATAAATGACAAATATATCATGGATCGGTACATGAATGAGTGAATACTAGTACATGTAAGAATGCATAAATCAGGACAAATGACTCAATTCATGAATCTATTCCGTGCATAGATCATGAATGAATAGACGAAAAATGGGATTTAATGAGTGGATGGATGGAATGGCGGATATGGGAATGAAAAAAAGCAATTAGTGAAATGATGATTGAATAATGGGAAGAAAAAACTCCAATTACATTACCTTGTTATCTCAAAAAACATGCAAGCTTTAGGAAGAAGAAAAGTAGTGTCCTGTTTGAACCAGACTTTAGACAAAGAACTATCCTATAACAAAACACTGACAGTCTAAACATCACACACTAGAATAAATGAAAATAAACACAGTAGATGTATTATAGACAATATGATAAATTAACATAAATAGTATAAAAACTAATGGCAACAGACAACGTTTTGTTGTTATCTCCGCAGCATTTTCAGATCAAGTAGAAGTTACTTATAATTCAGATGAACTTAAAATTCAATTCAATATTAAAGTGTTTTATAATAATACCTTGATAAGCTGTGGGAATGGAGAGATTTCTGTTGGAGAATTTCTGATATCCAAATCAGTTGGAATGAATTCATTTTTGTTAGGTAATTTAAGGGCGCTATTTAGAGGTACATCCTCCCATTCCTATCAGAAAAAAATATWATATATAATATTCAAAATAGATTCCAAAAGCATTGAACATTACTTTTSTTTTCTATGAATTAACCTTAATTTGTTTGTTGTCAATCTTTTCCATGGAATACTGCGTTCCATACCACTCTTCAATTAAGTCTGTTTTACCTTCAAAGTTCTTAGATACTGCTATAATTCTGCAAAATGTTCATGGGAAAAATATCAAGAAATATTATCCTTTAAAATAAAGCTTCCTCTTGTTGATACCAGGGACAGGGAGAGAGAAATAGGCTATAGACTTTGGTATAATTACATCCATTAACACACACATTGATCCAGGATGAGTGAACAGGACGATCAAGCAAGCAGCAATTCACACGTGTGCAGCTCTGCACATCTCAGGTCCCCCTGAGCCTGCATGCCCTTTGGTAACCACTGACACATCATAGCAATTGTCCAGGCAGTATAATCCATTACACCATTATCAGCTAGCAATTGGGGACCAGCACAGGTGTCTGGCAATCCAAGCAGTCTAGCAAGCAGTCCACCGACAGGCAGGCCGTTGCTTTGATTTAACTCCTGCTTTAAATTGCATTTAGCTATCATTAAAATACACTGAAATGGTGAAATCAGCCTGTGACATCTCTGAGTCTATAATTATATTTATTTACCTGACTTTTGATGCAACTAAGTGTGATAGAATCTCTTTAACAAGATTCGGTTCGAAGGTAGTCATGACAACTTGTCCTTGCAGCACATCATCCATGGTGTAATCCTAGTTAAAGGATACACAATATTATTATTTTATCTTACAATACAAGGTAAATTTTACTATAATTTGGGGGTCAGTTACACAAACATTCATGGGGTTTTTCACTTTTCTACTTATAGATATTTTGAAATTAGTATCCACTGGATTTATGATATATGATATCATTTTATTCATCCTTTGTATAAAGTCCTTTGTTTGCTTGCTTTAACCATGTACATGTAACACAATGCATGACTTTCAAAATCACAGTAGTTCACAACATTCAATATTGGGGTACTAGTGATGAATCATTCTTGAATAATTATTACAATCTAAAAAAGACCAGCAAAGATTGCTCATAAATGTATGGCAGTGTCAAAATTTGAAAGATGTATTCTTGGTATGTTATTTATGACAAAAAACTCTTGCAAAACACCATGGAGGTTTACTTTACAGAGGTGCTGGCCTTTCAGACCTTGTTAAAGTGCTTCTTCCCTTGGTTGACGGCCATGACATATCGTGCCATTTTTGAAAGTCATGAATTAAGATTTAAAAGCTGTGACTAACCATTCCATATGCTAGAATTACTTACATGTAGACATCTAGCAAGATGTGATACATAACTCCTAGGAGTTTCTTTGTCTTTGAAACGGAATTGGACTTCAGCAAGAGCCTGCAAGATTTAAAATATTACAAGTTACTACCAACAATAAAGACACCATTATTGAATAGACATTCACTACAAGTATGGTCACCATAGTCATTGGTAATAAAGATATTATTAGCAATCCAATACAGCCTTGTTCATGTCTCTAACCAATAATCACCTGGCATTCCCTGAATACCCACTCCTGTGGCTCCTGCTGTTGAAGCATCTTCAGGTATTGAAACACACATGATGTAATCTCATAAAGATGCTCTAAAATAATAAAAAGATCACTGATACAATACACTGATGTTCAAGTTATAGATTAGAAGACTGACATCTTTGAAAAGGCATGATTTTACTCAATTTGATCAAGTTTGGGAGCAAACATTCCATGCAAATTACAGGTAGGAGTTGTTGCATTATTACTCTAAAGTTCAAAATTCAAAAAGTATAATCAAAAACTGACTGAAAACCTCTGCCTCTAAGATTGCAGTCTTAAAAGTTCAAAGTGAAGAAGTTGCTGTGCAGTGATTTTTAAGGCTGTACATGTAAACAAGAAACAAGTGAGTGCAGTAGAGACTTGGGACTTATAAAATTCAATGTACAGATATAAAATTTGATGATTTTTATGGTATCAACACTGTTACATAAGGTTTCCATACCCTTGAACAGTATCTTACCAAATCAACTTCCTATGAAAATACAGACTGTATTACCTTGTCCTTGTGTAGTAAGTTCCATATTACACATGAAGAACATGAAACCTTTAGCACCTTCTAGTGCTCCAGCAACAAGGGCATTCACCCAACCTAGTTAACAATTTTAGTGTTACTTTTTAGCACCACTTTTTATGTGAATCTAAACTATCATTAAGTTCTCAAGTTTTGCAGCACAATAACCACCTTCAGATACATGTACCTAAACATAATACTGGAGGATAAATAATACTGTTTAATCTTACTCTCAAAATGAGTCAATAACATTCTCTAATAACTTTGATAAATACTAAATCCATTAATTAATCCTTAAAAGGACAAAAGAGAAGTATTGAAAATATCATATTTCACTCTGACCTGCTCCCAGTCTGACCCTAAACTTTTAGCTTAGCTAGTAGAGCATCAATACTATAGATTGGAAAAATATAAGTCTGACCTTACTGGGATTCAAACCCATTGCCCGATTTCATACTGTGGGAGACTGGTACAAGTCCCATAATTCGCACGATGGTGAGATAAGACTTATAATAATAAGACTACATGACTGTACATCTACTTCATGCATTTCATAGTGCTACGCTGTCTACATTATAATCATATCCTTACAAGTACACTGTTGGAGCCAGTAATACCTTTGTTCTTGAGCTCTGATAATAAACTACCCTCTCCTTCATGTCCAATTAAATGTGATATGTAATGACTTGGCTAATAATGTACAAAATAATATTTAAAAAAAATTATCAATCAAATCGATTACGAAAAAAACCAATCATCTGATACAAAGACTAATTACCTTGGAATAGTAATGTTTACTCATATCTGGAATGGGAAACATTAGATTGAGAATTCTAAGGTCTTTGACTGGAACTACCTTGAATAATGTCTGTCAAAATAAATTGGAATTGAATTAATGAATGGCTGGGAAAATCAATGAATAATATTAGCTTAAAAAATGAAGAAATGGATGACAAAATGAGTAAATGAGTGTGAATGAGCAATGTGTTATTTCCCTTTCCCACCTGTACTTGGTCATTTCCATAAGGATGGTTTGGAAAGTGTGGAACATCAACTTTTTTATCTGCTACATTGGACATTAGCTTGACTATAATATCTGTCAGTTTATCTAAAGAATCTAAAAATAGTAAAACAAACAACTCTATTAACTTCAATTTATAGCCATATACATTGTTTTCATTAAAACAATAATTTAGTCATGACACTGAATTGTAGACGTCACTCAGTCAATCAGTCATTTTGCTGTCAAAACTGCACAGTTAGCCAGACAACAAAATCACACCTAGTTAGCCAAACACTTTTCGTCTAAGTCGAAATGTAGCCGGTCTAAATCATAGTAACTATGTCTAAATAGACTCAAAAATAGACACTTTTCTGTCTTAAGTCAGACAGCTAGCCAGACAAGTCATCTTATTAAGTCAGTTAGGTAGACACTTAAACGTCTGAGTCAATTAGGAAACCAGACAATGTCGTCATCTAAGTTTAAAAGAGTCAACTTTGCCGTCTTAAGTGAATCAGCTGGCCTGATAATATTGTAGACAATTTTGTACCATGTTACCGATTGGTACAAAAGGCCTATTGCATAAGGTAAGAAAAGGCAACAAGTCACTATTTTTAGTATACTGGACAATTGTACCTCTTCCAAGGACACTTAAACCCATGATATTAGAAGAATAATAAGTGGAATGAAACTTTAGAAGCTCTTCTCGGACATCTACACCTCTTTCTTTTGGTCTTGCATCTAATGTGATCTTATTGCCTGRAAGATATGATCAACAGTTGCTTCAAATAGGTCATGCTAGTGAACTGGATTGTTAGATAGTAAACATATTTGATATGACAAGTGAGTCACAATGGCTGGACAATGGATGCACATACGTATACATGTATGAAAGGATGGATAAAGAAATGGATGAAGAAATGGAACTGGTGGGATTGGAACTTGAAAAAATGAATACAAACAAATGGATAAGTGCATGAATTGATGAAACRTGAAAAGATCTATAAAACAATGAATAAAAGCATATTTATATTTATAAAATGAATAAAAGATGAATGAACTCATGGAGACAAGACACTTTGACTTACATAATGGACAACTGACTGTATCCCAAAATAATTAACTAAAATCCTTGTAATACCTGTGCTAAACTTGCAGTAAGGATGGCTTGGATCAACTGTGGACCGGTCAAGCTGGTTTAAGCGCCACATATCTTGAAGCATATTCTTAGAATTTTCTTTTAAAAACAAATGTATGAATTAACAATAAAACTAAAGGAATTCTCCATATTATAAAACCCAAGCGCATTTTTTTGAAAGGTAGCTAATCCTTTGCATCAAAGTGAGATAGCAGTTGAGGCTTGCAACATACTATGCATGGCTTGCTCTAAATTCTTAGGTATGAACAAAAGGTATCTATCACTACAGGCTTAGCTCCAGTCTTGCTTATTGATAGATGGCACTTGGAACAGTAAGATGGAGTATTTTTCAACTAATGATCTTATAGTACCTGAATCAACAGCATTGACTTCTCTTTCAGTAGCATCAGCATTAAACAGAGGACACAAGAAAAACTGGGCAAATCTATAGCATTCAAAACAAAGTGGGATTCCATTGTTTAATTTAGAAGTAATTG